TAACTGAATCTGTAAATAACACAAGTTTGTAATAGAGTTTGACAAAAAGAATAATTAACTGCATTGAGGTGCCGACAAGATTTTTTATATACACATCCGTTCCTTGATTTCTTGTAGCATTGCAAGTAAATCAATATTAATAATAATAATAATGTACAATATTTGATTTCACTTATCTTTATGATTTAACACATGCACACACATATGTTTGATGATTCATCAAATACCTTAGTAGTAGAGTAGCAGAAGTTAGAAATGGCTCTTAGAACTGTTGCCACTTATGTGCCTAACCTTTTAATGGGAGATAACCTGACAAGGGGAAGTAACCTAACAGGTGAGCTGACCACAATCACTTTCTTACAAATAATAATTTTGTAATTTTTTTATTATTTTTTTTTTTAAATTATGAAAAGTGGATTAAAAAAAATAGATCTTTCTTAAAGGTTGGATTTTAAAATCAATATTTCAGAGACCATTTCCTTCAAATATTTTTTCTGCTGATGGTCCAGCTCAAATTGACAGATCAAATTAGCAATAATTCTATGACTAGGAAATGACATTAACATTAGTCCCATTACAGTAGAAGTTCTCCAAACGGGGTCAGGGGTTCTGTAACTCCTTGGGGGTAAGCATAGAAATTTTTAATCTAAGAAAAAGGGCAACAGGAGGGGGGGGGGGGGGGGGGGGGAAGCAAAAAAAGCTCCTCATTTGATATACCCATACTATTTGATTAAACACAGAGGACACTCCTCACTTTTTCCCTGAAAATGTTGGGTACAGTAAAATAGTGTGGGAATCACTGGCCTTCAATAATCTTCAGCTCTAAATCAAAATTATTATTGGTCACCTGCACCACTAACTGAACAGAAAGGAGCCTGCAGGAAGGCTCCTGAGAAGTTAAAGTGGTCAAGACATAACGACAACTAATGTACAGACAGTGTTATATCGTCTAGCTGACAAAATACATACACATCTTAAATGTTCAAATCATTGGAATTTATTATTTATTTGAGAACTGAAAAATTATTTTTGACTCAAACTCAAACATACTTCAGAGTTCATGTTTTAAAAAAAAAGAAAAAAAATGTACATCACTGGAAACTGATGGACTTGCACAATTTAAGAATATTCTCAACATCATTTTTAAAACAAACAAAAAAACATTTAATTTAAAAAAAAATCTTTCTGTTCAACTCCTGTAAATAAATATTTAACATTTTAAAACCTCCTCCGTATAAATCTGCGGTTACTCTCATACCATTCTTGGTCATCCCCCCGCCCCCTCCCCCTGATCAGGGGGGGTTCTTAACCTTTTTTTGACCGTGCACCCCCCCCCCTTTTGCCAGTAAGGTGAAGGCCCCAGGTTTAACAGCCCCTCCCTTAGAGGACCCCCAACATCCAACGTGGCACACACCAAAGTCAAGGAATGCCACCAAGTCATTCATGGTTAATATTTTTTTTTTATATACAGAAACAATAAATATATAAATCCCACCGCATGTTCGTTCATCAGAAGCCGAAGAGGAAAATGATCAGAGGCAATACTGTATGTTCTCATCACCGGTTTGTTCAAGCACACATCATTGAATAACATAACGACAGATACATTGCTCTCCACATAACCACATACGGTGTGCTGAGGAACTTCTCTAGACACAACGGCATAAATTGTGCTGTGAAACCTCTTGTTCAAGCACACATAGCATGAAACAACTATGGCAAATACATTTCTATCCACGTAACCCTGTAATGGTATGATGAGAAAAGTCTATCCACATAACCACATTCAGTGAGCTGAGAAACTTCTTGTTTAGCCACACATCATAAAAACACCAGCTACGGCAATGAATTTCTCTCTGCAAAACCACATATGGTGTGATATTAAGCTATGTAATAGATTAGTACGTTTTTGCAATAGGCTCTATCAACTAATTTTTTATATAGATATTTAAGAAAATGACATTCCTTTCAAAATACATTAAAATTTATTATTTGGTAGTACCAGTTTTTAAGGACAGGATAACTTCGTTATACCAAAGCAGAAAAATAACAGTGAATAACATAATGAAACGGTGAATAACATAATGAAACTATGAATGACATAATGAAACTATGAATGACATAATGCAATGGTGAATGACATAATGAAATGATGAATGACATAATGCAAAAGTGAATGACACAATGAATCGGTGAATAACATAAGAAACGGTGAATGACAAAATGAAACAGTGAATGACATAATGAAACGTACTTGCTTTTGAGCAAGAAAGAATATTCAAAGTACAGACTGAGAAACTATGGCGGCATATTTCATCTTTTTTGGTGTGTGCATAAAACTAAATGATCACAAACTGGCCGCAGAAAAATAAAAGTTTGCCCGTTAAAAAAGCAACATTCCTTTTCATATGGTTAGGATTCAAAACAGCGATTTACTACTTTTGTACCACTGTTGTACTACTTTTGTAGTATAACTAGGGTTAACAAAAGTTCATTTTCTCTTGGGTTAGGAACAAATAAGGAATCACCACTTTAGTAGTGGTTATAGAGTAAAATTTTAGGTAGGGTCAAGGACACTTTATGAGAATTTTCAGTAATTTACCATAAATTTTCAGTAATTTAAATAGAAAGGAGATAAACAACAATTGGTGCTCCCCGCAGAAAAATACAGAACATATGGCATCGGCCTAATGCTGCAATGCCATTAAAATAAATCTACACAATTCTGGTTTGTTCACAACACATGCAACAATGACCCATCAGTATGGTGGAAGTTCAGGTGGCTGTGTCCACCACAACGGCATATCACCAAACACTACAAACGTACACCACCATTCACCACAACAGCATTTATCTTTCATCTGGTTGGAATGAGGCACAAAGAAATCTGGCCACCATCAAAATGTCAACAGGGAGATGAGAAAACATTGACAGATGTCATCAGCGAGGTGAGAAAATACTGACAGATGTCATCAGAACGATGAGAAAGCCTCGACTACTTAACATCCTTAAATATCATGGGGAGTGAATTTCATAATTCTTCATAAGTGCTTCTTTCATGACACATCCAGTTTGTAAAGTTGGAAAAAACAAATTAATTAGCGAATCTTGCAGCAAGTCCTTTCAAGTTAACCAAAGAAATGATCTCAGCAAGTCTTTCCGAGGACCGACAAGCGTTCAATGATTCCAGGTTATCCTCAGAAGTGCAGTTTCTCCGAGCACCACAGACAGTTGTAGTTTGAAATATTTGATAAGCTTCAGGAAGACTTTGCAAAACTTCACACATTATTAAAAGAAACTGACCAATGGTGGGGACAGTAAATGACAACTATGCACCAGTCTGTGTCTTTATTCCCCAACAGCCGGTATGTGATAAAGACTTTGATATTTAGTTTCTCGATGTCCCCCCCCCCAACAATTAGCCATGTCATGGAAAAACGTATATTGCCACTATTTATTGATAGTGTTTATGTTGAGGCTCTGCTTATAGTGTTGTAGGCTGGGGGGTTGTCGTGAGTTTGTCTGTATGTGGCGCCACCATTCAGCGCCGATCTGTGCGTGGCGTCTCCGTTGGGTTGACGGGCAGAGCCCGTGTCGTCCGTCTCGTCTGTGCTGTCCTCCTGTTTACTGTAGTAAACTTTGGCCTTGTTGACGGGGGGACCTGAAGGATTGGTAATAAAATCACTCCATAAACAAAGTGTTTTGGCTTATCATTGGAACTGTTAACATGGCATTTTATGTTGTTTTGAACGTTGTATTATACGTTGTTTGGAACATGGTATTATATGTTGTTTTGAACGTTGTATTATATGTTGTTTGGAACATGGTATTATATGTTGTTTTGAACGTTGTATTATATGTTGTTTGGAACATGGTATTACCAAAAGATAAAGTTCAATTGTTATAAGCACAAAAAAGTTTTTTGTTTATCCTCTTAACTCTCAACTACAGATAAATATCTATATATTTTTGGGGTGGTCAACTTTATTAAGTTTGCATGACACTATCAGAAAAATGTGTATGAGAGCCAAAGGGATTTTCTTAAAGCGTATCAGTCGACATTAATTTATTTTGTATGGTCATGAGTCGTACAAATTGCTTTTCCAAAAGTTAAAACTACCTTTTTTTTTCAAGCTAACTCTCTCACGGTATAGATTGTGTAACTTAACATTACCGGTAATAAGAGTTTGAACTTATTTGAATACTCTCTGCGGGTCTGACCCAACGGGTCTACTCCAGAGTGGGTCATAACATGAAAGCATTGCTTCAGTTAATCTAAATTATCATCTTAATGACCAAATGTAAAATTGATCACTAATTAGCGTCATTTCTGTCACTAAAGGAGTTCATCGATGGCTGATTTCTATGCAAGAGAAATACTTCAGGTGTCTTGTGTTTAAATTGTTATAACTGTAAAACATTGTCTAGGTTAAAATATGTATTTACTTATGGGTTGAAAATGAATATGTACAATGTAATCAAAAAACATTTCCATTTATTTGAATCAATAAAGATGCTTATCTTATCTTATTTTATCTTTAGTTATTAACAGTCTAGATGTATATTTCTTCCTACAGGTTCCCTGATACAAAAATTTTGAGTCCACAAAATTTCATTGTATTTTTAAAATTAAAACGTAGGGACATACGCTCACATCAACACCAACTGATGCCGACAGTAATCGGGTCGGGTTTTTGTTTCTGTGATGTAGCCCAATGGTTGAAAGGACACTACTTACCCAGGTAGCTGAGGAACACAGGTAGGAAGATGAGGCCGTGGGTGGCCCCAAACACGACAATGCCCAGGTACATCCTGAAGTAGAATACCTGGAACAGCTGGGACTTGGAGAAGCCCAGCATGATGATACCACCCAGCTTGGTGAGGGTGATACCACTCAGGACCTGAGGATAAGCAGGGGGGGGACAAGTTATAGGAGCGTGTGCCTGGCTTTCATCAGTGACATAACAAGAATTTTATTTTCTGGTGTTAGTTGATGTATGCTGGTACAAATTTATAGGGGGAGTTGATGAATGGTGGTACAAATTTGTTGGGGGAAGTTGACGTGTGATGGTACAAATTTATGGGGTGAATTGTGAAAATTTTCTGCTACTTTTCTTCTTTATATATTTCATTGTTGTTCATCCTTTCCACGCGAAGATGACCAAGCAATTTTGACTTGAGTAGTAGCCTTGAGTTGAGTTGTTTAAAGTGAGGTAGAGTTGCCGAAATCATCACCCTCTCATCCTTCGTTATCATCCAATGGCAGGACTTGGTCAAGACGACTGGAGATAGACCAGCAGATGACCAGCAGTGTGTCTTTCAGTGTGCTCTTTATGCATTCTATGTCACATGAGTTGCAAACCGACAACACATTCAACAGACAAATAAGTCTCTTACCGAGCTTCCCATGTGAGCCAGGGCCTCTTTGGCTCTCTCCTTGCGAGTTGGTAGGACGCTGATGGCAAAAGCTCGGATGATGTGTGAGCAAAACTCGACGGATATTCCAATGGCCTGGGATTAGAATTTAAAAATGGATATTTATAATGGGTTCAAATGATCAAAGACACATCACACTTTATATTGCTTTCTTTTGATGCAACTGAGTAACTGAATTCTGATCTAGCTAATTACAACCCAAAAATGCAAGTCTAGAAAGCACAGCGACAGCCTCCATGCTCCATTTGTACACCACTTTCCAGTAGCAGGTAAATAAACAACCGAGGCTAATGGTAGTTATGGATGCCACGACCTTCAGGTTAGGCATAGGTGTCAACCAAGATGGCGGCCATTGAGAAAATATTGGCATCCATACTCACCATTTACCACAACCGATTTCCCTCCAAATTATCTCACTTTATGATTGACAGTGTCAGCCTGGTCAACTTAGCTATGCTGTCTCATGCAAACTGTTCATCAACTTAGCTATGCTGTCTCATGCAAACTGTTCATCAACTTAGCTATGCTGTCTCATGCAAACTGTTCATCAACTTAGCTATGCTGTCTCATGCAAACTGTTCATCAACTTAGCTATGCTGTCTCATGCAAACTGTTCATCAACTTAGCTATGCTGTCTCATGCAAACTGTTCATCAACTTAGCTATGCTGTCTCATGCAAACTGTTCATCAACTTAGCTATGCTGTCTCATGCAAACTGTTCATCAACTTAGCTATGCTGTCTCATGCAAACTGTTCATCAACTTAGCTATGCTGTCTCATGCAAACTGTTCATCAACTTAGCTATGCTGTCTCATGCAAACTGTTCATCAACTTAGCTATGCTGTCTCATGCAAACTGTTCATCAACTTAGCTATGCTGTCTCATGCAAACTGTTCATCAACTTAGCTATGCTGTCTCATGCAAACTGTTCATCAACTTAGCTATGCTGTCTCATGCAAACTGTTCATCAACTTAGCTATGCTGTCTCATGCAAACTGTTCATCAACTTAGCTATGCTGTCTCATGCAAACTGTTCANAGACCATGTTCAAGATGGAGTCTTTGAGGATGGTCAGGTACTGCTCGTAGAACAAATAGAACACCCTGTTGGGGGGGGGGGGGGGGGAAAGTAAAGTTATGCCATACATTAAAATAGGAATAAGAAACCAAATGAATGCTAGGACTAACATTGATCATGTTTTGTGTGAGTCTTAAAAATTGTATCTTAGTGTGTTTTTACTGCCGGTGTAGTCAGAGCCATCTGATGTAGTCAGAGCCATCTGATGTAGTCAGAGCCATCTGATGTAGTCAGAGCCATCTGATGTAGTCAGAGCCATCGTGTGACATTTAGACACCACCCACACCCCTTTTGGTTTTGTGCCCCTTGCATTCAAAGTTGATAGTTTAACTATATTTTCCACAGCACACATTGGGGCCCTGAAATATCCGAGGCCCACTACAGCCCCAGGGGTTGCAGAGTTCACGCCATGGCTCTGGCTGTAAGAAATGAAGCCATTTGTCTAAGGATTAAAGAACAAGCAGTAGAGGGGCTTGTAGACTTCTGAAACACTATATCCAAGTCAGAACTATTTGAGATCCTGTCTGTTACTGTAATTAGTGTTGGGCTATGCTGTCTCATGCAAACTGTTAATGTCATTAGTGTTGGGCTATGCTGTCTCATGCAAACTGTTACTGTCATTAGTGTTGGGCTATGCTGTCTCATACAAACTGTTACTGTCATTAGTGTTGGGCTATGCTGTCTCATACAAACTGTTACTGTCATTAGTGTTGGGCTATGCTGTCTCATACAAACTGTTACTGTCATTAGTGTTGGGCTATGCTGTCTCATACAAACTGTTACTGTCATTAGTGTTGGGCTATGCTGTCTCATACAAACTGTTAATGTCATTAGTGTTGGGCTATGCTGTCTCATACAGACTGTTACTGTCATTAGTGTTGGGCTATGCTGTCTCATGCAGACTGTTACTGTCATTAGTGTTGGGCTATGCTGTCTCATACAAAAAGCCTCAGTGCAGAAATCTTGCTTTGCCCTTCTAGCTGGTTTCTTGAAACACCCTCATTGTTCCAACTCTATTTACTGACTCATGGACACCTTATGTGTCTTATGACTGCAGCTTCAGCAACATAATTTTAATTTCAACTTAACTCTGATGATTTGTAACTACCCTATTTTTAGTATGTGTATACCCTATTTTTCACCAGTGAAGATAAGAATTAACTCCAAGATTAATGTGATCAGATCTTAAGTTTAACATTTCAATATCATTGGCCATCTAATAGAGTCCCTTTTTGTGTGTGCGTTTTTATTACCTGTAGGGAAACACCTTGCCTTGACGCCCGCTATGCTGAAGTGTGCTGGTTATGTTGTCAGCAATCACCCTGGCTTCTTTCAGAGCGTTGATGTAGTCAGCCGATGTCTTGAGGATGTTGTGGTAGGTCATGAAGTAGGAAGCTGAAGAAAACAATGTCATACTTGACGGACTGCCAGCTACTTAAATGGCACACACATCTGAAGGGTGACATGCATGGATAGCCTTGACCTACTGACTGGTTAAATACTTAATGCAAAGAAGAGTGAGCGCTCATTTAATTATTGAGGGGGGGGGGGGTGCAGCTGTGAAAGAACTCCCCTCCAACATGTGTCTCATTGTTTGGATCCTTGAACAGCTGAACACCGGAACCGTAGGCCGCATGGCCACTGTGGACGGCAACAATCAACATTAGCATAGGCAAATAAATATGTAGACAATAATAGGGGCATTTACATACATGTTAGGAGAAGCATCCACGTACACAGGAGCCTAGAAATCTTAGTACACAAGAGTAGAGGCATTAATATATACATAAGAAGAGCTTTAAGGTCCTATCTGACATATCCCTTTTTCTTGAGAAGATAAGTACATAAAATTAATATAATTTTTTTTTTTACAATTTAGATTTACTTTGGCCCCTGTGAATCAACCAATGAGATTACATCCCTTTTTTTCACATACTATCTTATGATTGCCCTGGTCAGTGTTAATCTTGACTTAATTGGCCAGCGAGTCCATCCCACCCAGCTGGAGACCAACCAGACCAAATCTGAAATCCTACTCTCTGGACACAAGGCAATATCGCAGCACAAGGCTGTCTAATTAAATGACAATTTTCAATGGCGTAACTCACCCTTTGCCACACTTTAATCCAGGGTTGTCTGACAGAAACCATTTCAAATATCTGTTGAAGGTCTCTCCAACGGGACGGCCTTTTTCTAAGTGGTCTAGTGGGCATGGGATGCAACTAGAGTTGGAGTCTGGCAATCAAATGAAGAAATGTGCATTCATTTAATCGCAGAAACTTGTGTTTAACGCCCACAGTTATAAAATACAACAAATCAATTAAAATGTTTCTATCTTTCAAACGCTTGGCATGGAGAGTTTTGAACCTTTGTGTTTAGCGTCCACAGTTTTAAAATACAACAAATCAATTAAAATGTTTCTATCTTTCAAACGCTTGGCATGGAGAGTTTTGAAACTTTGTGTTTAGCGTCCACAGTAATAAAATACAACAAATCAATTAAAATGTTTCTATCTTTCAAACGCTTGGCATGGAGAGTTTTGAAACTTTGTGTTTAGCGTCCACAGTTATAAAATACAACAAATCAATTAAAATGTTTCTATCTTTCAAACGCTTGGTATGGAGAGTTTTGAAACTTTGTGTTTAGCGTCCACAGTTTTAAAATACAACAAATCAATTAAAATGTTTCTATCTTTCAAACGCTTGGCATGGAGAGTTTTGAAACTTTGTGTTTAGCGTCCACAGTTATAAAATACAACAAATCAATTAAAATGTTTCTATCTTTCAAACGCTTGGCATGGAGAGTTTTGAAACTTTGTGTTTAGCGTCCACAGTTTTAAAATACAACAAATCAATTAAAATGTTTCTATCTTTCAAACGCTTGGCATGGAGAGTTTTGAAACTTTGTGTTTAGCGTCCACAGTTATAAAATACAACAAATCAATTAAAATGTTTCTATCTTTCAAACGCTTGGCATGGAGAGTTTTGAAACTTTGTGTTNTATAAACAGACACAAATCTTCTTTCATAAAATAATATAAACAGACACAAATCTTCTTTCATAAAATAATATAAACAGACACAAATCTTCTTTCATAAAATAATATAAACAGACACAAATCTTCTTTCATAAAATAATATAAACAGACACAAATCTTCTTTCATAAAATAATATAAACAGACACAAATCTTCTTTCATAAAATAATATAAACAGACACAAATCTTCTTTCATAAAATAATATAAACAGACACAAATCTTCTTTCATAAAATAATATAAACAGACACAAATCTTCTTTCATAAAATAATATAAACAGACACAAATCTTCTTTCATAAAATAATATAAACAGACACAAATCTTCTTTCATAAAATAATATAAACAGACACAAATCTTCTTTCATAAAATAATATAAACAGACACAAATCTTCTTTCATAAAATAATATAAACAGACACAAATCTTCTTTCATAAAATAATATAAACAGACACAAATCTTCTTTCATAAAATAATATAAACAGACACAAATCTTCTTTCATAAAATAATATAAACAGACACAAATCTTCTTTCATAAAATAATATAAACAGACACAAATCTTCTTTCATAAAATAATATAAACAGACACAAATCTTCTTTCATAAAATAATATAAACAGACACAAATCTTCTTTCATAAAATAATATAAACAGACACAAATCTTCTTTCATAAAATAATATAAACAGACACAAATCTTCTTTCATAAAATAATATAAACAGACACAAATCTTCTTTCATAAAATAATATAAACAGACACAAATCTTCTTTCATAAAATAATATAAACAGACACAAATCTTCTTTCATAAAATAATATAAACAGACACAAATCTTCTTTCATAAAATAATATAAACAGACACAAATCTTCTTTCATAAAATAATATAAACAGACACAAATCTTCTTTCATAAAATAATATAAACAGACACAAATCTTCTTTCATAAAATAATATAAACAGACACAAATCTTCTTTCATAAAATAATATAAACAGACACAAATCTTCTTTCATAAAATAATATAAACAGACACAAATCTTCTTTCATAAAATAATATAAACAGACACAAATCTTCTTTCATAAAATAATATAAACAGACACAAATCTTCTTTCATAAAATAATATAAACAGACACAAATCTTCTTTCATAAAATAATATAAACAGACACAGTTCTAAGATAAATATTCTTGCTTTCTCTCCCCACCCCACTTCAAATCTACGACGAGGTGGTTTCAGTTAAAGAACGAAGGACCAGAGGCTGTTTAAAAATCTGTGTGCACCTACACTGTGAGCTGAGGTAACTACGATAGGAAAAAAAACTAACAATTCACAGAACTCACCTGTAGAAGGGCAGAACTCCCCGGTGTCATTTTTATACCTGCAACACGCAGGGCTGGACAGCCATGAGAAGTAATCATCCAGCCAAGAGGAGACTGGCTGAGCCACATAAGTGCTGGGATAAAAGAAGACAATTAAGACATTGGATCTCTTGTGCATCTCAACATACCGTATGTTCCTTTAATAACATATACTGAAACACCAACTCATCCCTTTTGGCACAAGTGCCCCACACTTCAAGGCAATGGCATATACTTTGACTTTTGAGATAATGCTCACGATTTTAAAGAAAACATTTTTTTGGTCAAACACAAATCAATAAATTTAGGATTAGCCCATAATCAATTTTTCTTGCCAATCAATTAATTATCAGTAAAACAACTATAAATTTTAATTAAAATGTGCTATGGAACGTTGTAATTCAATGCTTTGGGACGTAAAATTTGTCCTTACAATAAAATGTGTAAAGATGTGTCTTGGTAACAAAAAACCCTTGGCAGATGATAAGCATTCTAAAGAACTGATGAGTGGACAATTAAACCCAGGTCATTAAGACTCACTAGTTTGGGTTCAAGGCAGCGTGGTTGACCTGCTGGACAAGTGAGTTCTGCGGACAGCCACTTATACCACATACATCGTTCTGACCAGAATATGTGGAGAAGTCATGGCCGGACTCCATCACAAAGTAGACAGGGGCTCCGACAGAGAGGTATCTGGTCAGGTTACCGAAGTAATTCAAAACGTAGGAATCCTGAGGGGTGTAAGATACAGGGAAAAAGATTGACAAGGGAAAAAGATTCATAGTGAAATGTTAGCACCCAAAAAGGGGGGGGGGGGGATTAACATCAAGATTCCAAGTCTTTTACCAGTGTTTAATGAAATATTATTCTATTTAAATACAGAAATTCTTTCAAGTTATGAAGATGATGGGATCAAATCATTTTTTGTTAGCAGTGGCAACCACAGCATTCTGACATACGGATGTTAACGTAAGTGATACATGGCATGGATTTATGTGTAAGGTGATAAAAAAACAAAAATTAAAGTTTACATTTTTTTTATCATCTGAGGACAAACTGCTGCTGAATGATTACCAATTTCATAATTTTGGTCTTTGAGCCTGCTAGTAAGGATGTTATAAACTTTGTACTAAATCTAATTGGCAGGCATGATATAGAAATATTGTCCTAAATCTAATTGGCAGGCATGATATAGAAATATTGTCCTAAATCTAATTGCCAGGCACGATATAGGAATATTGTACTAAATCTAATTGGCAGGCATGATATAGAAATATTGTACTAAATCTAATTGGTAGGCATGATATAGAAATATTGTCCTAAATCTAATTGGTAGGCATGATATAGAAATATTGTCCTAAATCTAATTGGTAGGCATGATATAGAAATATTGTACTAAATCTAATTGGCAGACAAGATATAGAAATATTGTACTAAATCTAATTGGCAGACAAGATATAGAAATATTGTACTAAATCTAATTGCCAGGCATGATATAGGAATATTGTCCTAAATCTAATAGTCAGGCATGATATAGATATATTGTCCTGAATCTAATTGCCAGGCATGATATAGGAATATTGTCCTAAATCTAATTGCCAGGGATGATATAGGAATATTGTCCTAAATCTATTTGGCAGGCACAATATAGAAATAGTGTCTAATTAAGCAAAGATTTGTTTACAAAACTCAGATTCCTGCACAAGATTTACCTTAGGCATTGACAGGGCTTGATCCAAACCAATCTCAACTTTAGAGGTCATGGCGGCACTAGCACAGAACCAGCCAACAAACGTCAGCATCTGAGGAAGGGAGTGGGTCAGAAACATTGTTTTATGTACCGTATCAGAAAATATTGATCAATGTACGAGGAGCTGAAGGATGAAATATAAGTTCAAACTTTTTTTATTCTGGACCTGATAACTGAAATTATTTATAAAAAAATCAACACTGTGTTCATGTGTGTGTGTCAAAACATTTTCTATTTCTGCTATTACAATGTGCATCAGTTTACACATAAATTATTCACTAATATGGTATAACAAATGATACAGTTAGCAAAAGTTTTATTCAACACCTACCCCTTGTAAATTTTTGTTTTTTTGTTTTGCACGTTTTGTTTATCAAATCAATCTTTTAAAAACAAAAATCACGCAACTGCATTGAATTCTCAATAAAATATACGAAGCAATTTTACTCTATCGGGTCACCATATTTAAAGCACACTTTACGACTGCACGGCAGGATACTCACAACAATGGGCCTGACCCATTCCTTCATTAAAAAGTGGGAGTAGTATTCCTTGACAAATGTGTACAGGAGGCCATTTCTTGGCTTGGACTTTTTTAGGGGTACCTTGTAGCAGCAGAGGACATCAATTCTGTTTGACTGTTGGAGGAGATCAACGGGAACTTTCATTTCATGTTTAGACTATCACTGGCTGGACAGGGTGCATAGGTCAAGTGCAGTTAAGTTGGAGGACCATTACAAGGGTATTTTGTCAGTGGGATAAATGTAGTTAGTAGCTCTTTTACACCTTTCCTTAAAATGCATGTATAACAGTTATCCTAGTTGGGTCCTAAAAAGTGGTCCCGATGATGAGATACAGTCATCTCTGGCACAAAGCAATCTCAACATTATCATGAATGTATGGTTAGATTATTTTTATTTTCGCTTCCTCAACAGCCACCAACCACCATATTCCTGCTGATCTCAGTTTAAGGACAACTTGTTTTACTTGTGAATGTAGTGTATCTTACCTCCTGGCGTTTGGCGTCCACTGTCAAGAGTGATATAAAAATGGTGATTTGCAGAATGAAATCAAACAACACTGCCATGGCGGCATACAATGAAAACACCTTCACTGCCGGCATCTGTGTGAGGGCTCCTGAAAGAAGCAAGAGATTGTCAAGAAATAATAAGCAATGCATTTTCTCATGGGATCTCAAATTAAATAAATTTTCCTGCTTTGCTATACAGCATTGCACTTTGCAACAAGATGGACAAGTACTTCTGAAGTCATGTTTTTTTTATGAAGTTTTCAATGGGGTTTGGAGTAATTCTTAAAAACAGAGTCCATCCTACCCATTTCATCTCTCGGGGATTTACTCCTCATAGCATTTGAGTTAAACAAAATGGCTCACAATGATGTCAGTCTGTTTAATAATGTCGTGGATGGATGACTTATATATATAAATATAAATGATGTTGGCGGTGCATGGAGTGGTTTGATCATTCAGCACCATGTGTTCGTTTTGGTGGGTATCTGAACAGCTGTCCCGTAACTTACAGACAAGAGGAAGACGGAAATGAAATGTGAAATAACTTTCAATGGTTACCTAGGAAGAATGCCAGAGACTCGGACAAACTTGTCAGCAACATACTTGGTCCAACTTTACCAACCACACGACCGATTTTGTGTTCAACAGTCTCTCCTTCATGCAAGGGCTCCCTCTGTGATGTGGACAAGGTAAACATTGCAGATAAATAACCCATACTTCTGAGGTTGCTCTCATTTCTTGTTAAAAATACATCTCTTAATTTAAAAAATATATGCTTCAAGATATAGATATGTTGAACATTTACCATGTTTTTCAACAAAAAAAATATATGTGAAAATAGTTAATCAATTTATTATGAATCAAACAGTATTTAATATTTGATATTTGATCAAATAATGGAATTATTTGTACAGCCTAAAAATTAAAAATTTGTGAAAAAAAAAAAATTTTGTTGGTGCAATTAAGTACCATCAACTATGACAATATATTCCTGCTTAGCCTAACGGCAAGCATTACCTGGCAGGTCTGCACAAGGATGAAAATGTTATCCACACCGACAGCCAGCACCAAGAAGGGAACCACCTCCACAATGATGAGTGTGGATGGGATGCCGATGTAGCTGTAGAAACCCAGAGATCCACCCACAGACAGCAGCACAATCAACACGCCAGACAGACCCAGTGAAACTTTGGCATCGACCTAAACACAAAAATAACAATATAGTCTCCATTGACAAGTGCTGTGGACAATTCATTATTTTTCTTACTGATAATATGAAAAGAGCTGAGAAGAGTTTACATGCAAGTTTATCATGTACCAGAAGGTCAACCCAATAAAATGGCCCGGCCTCATGGTTGTGCCGAAGTTGGCAGAGGAAATTTAAAGGTATAAAACATTAACAAGGTCAACCAGCCAAACCAAAATTACTTTCATTTTGAGCTAAGAGCACCCTGTGATAATTAGAGAAAGTCACTCGACTACAGTGCTGTACACCAAGAGCACCCTGTGATAATTAGAGAAAGTCACTCGACTACAGTGCTGTAAATTTATCTAAAGAAACCCTGACATGGGTGTTGTTTTTGCTTTTTTAAATGAGTCGCTAAACGTAATGAATCTAATTTTTTATTACATTTGTACATACAGCCTACACACTACACACTGTAATTGCTGTGGCAAGGCTTAGTACTGGCACAACTCAAGAGTTAAGAAATGAGCTGTGTTGTCCCTGCTTATTGTCCAGCATGGATATTCACTTGCAACCGTTGTACACAGCGAGCGTCTTGTTTGTTAATGAAAATTTCTGGCGCCATAAAGTTTGTGATGGTATTATTATATGTTCATGCTGTGATTTTTATGTAGCTGGGAGCAGAGTCTACAGTCTGTCTCTTGAGTATGTGCTATTTGTTTCGCAGGTGGGAGTTGGGAATTGAGTGAGAAGGTTGTATGGTATGTCAGTAGTGAGCTGCAATAAATGTGTTTGAATTACTGTACGACCAGATGAAAGAGAAGCTTGGATTGAAGTTTCCATTGTTCTTATAATAGGACTTGTGTTCGGTTCATCAGATTACCATGTTTGAACGTGTTAACGAACTCGATGTGTGAAAACCAATTCACGGATGCGACACTTGTATTCCAAGCAAGTTCTATATTAAAAAGCACCTGAATTCAAAACAGCCAATCATACACATTTAAGCCAAAACCTGGGCCTGCAACTATGAGAACCACTGAGAGATATCCCATGATCCCCACTCACCACAATCCTTGACAGGTCTGTGTACTGCCCCAGAGTGATGGTGATGTAGCCAAACATGATGAGGTAACTCAGCAGTATGGTGAGAATGTCGCTCTCACTTTCCCGATCAATCTCGTCTTCTATAGATCTCTGTGATGATGAAGCAGGAGAACAAGAGGAATTAATATGACTGATGTATTAAAATGAGGTAACTCACAACAAATACAATAGAGAACAAATCAAGGCTTGTCTGAAAGACAGGAATAGTTAAATATAACACCACTAACATATCTCTGGCAAAATTTGAGATAGTTGTTTTAATTACAGTTTTTTATAATTTTTTTACTTCCATTAGGGTTGTTTTTTTTTAAAAAAGACAATCCACTATAAGGAAATGATCAAAACATTGTGTTTGTTAATATGAATAATAAGATGGTTTTAAAAAAATGGAACTTGAAAACAGTGTGCTCAGATTATGGTGATGAAAATTGAGCAGGACCTGCCTCAGAGGAGAGAGTAATGTGGAGCAGGACCTGCCTCAGAGGAGAGAGTAATGTGGAGCAGGACCTGCCTCAGAGGAGAAAGCAATGTGGAGCAGGACCTGCCTCAGAGGAGAAAGTAATGTGGAGCAGGACCTGCCTCAGAGGAGAAAGTAATGTGGAGCAGGACCTGCCTCAGAGGAGAAAGTAATGTGGAGAAGGACCTGCCTCAGAGGAGAAAGCAATGTGGAGCAGGACAAATGTGGAGAAGGACCAGCCTCAGAGGAGAAAGTAATGTGGAGCAGGACCTGCCTCAGAGGAGAAAGTAATGTGGAGAAGGACCTGCCTCAGAGGAGAAAGTAATGTGGAGAAGGACCTGCCTCAGAGGAGAGAGCAATGTGGAGCAGGACCTGCCTCAGAAGAGAAAGTAATGTGGAGCAGGACCTGCCTCAGAAGAGAAAGTAATGTGGAGAAGGACCTGCCTCAGAGGAGAGAGCAATGTGGAGCAGGACCTGCCTCAGAGGAGAGAGCAATGTGGAGCAGGACCTGCCTCAGAGGAGAAAGCAATGTTGAGCGGGACGTACATCAGAGGAGAAAGCAATGTCGAGCGGGACCTACATCAGAGGAGAAAGCAATGTGGAGGTGGACCTACCTCAGAGGAGAAAGCAATATGGAGCAGGACCTACCTCAGAGGAGAAAGCAATGTGGATGTCTGGATGATCAGCCGTGTAGTTCTTCATGAACTCTATGTACTTGGTCTCCCAGGCCTTGGCCGGACCATTGAGTTTATCATCCAAATGATTGTTGACTAGAATGGTGATGACCAGCGCATTGGCCGTTTTGTAGGATTTGCCTGGAGAACCAAATAGAACCAAACATTACAAGCCGGTCATGGGATTTCCAATCTTTTGGCTCCGGTGTTTAGAATGTCATTACTTCAATAATTACAAGCACTAGAATTAATAAAGTTTACAACAAGAAACAAATATTCCCAGATCCATTTTTGAAAATATTGTTTCAGCTTCAGGCAAAAATGAGTCAATGGAAATTTATGGCTATCTTTACATGCACTGAAGAAAGAAGTACAATGAGAGCAAGCCGGTGAAATTACCTTCGTACCCTCCGAGGGCCACCCATGGAAAGACAGGTCCTCCGTACGTTCCCAGACACGGTGTGTGTAGTTTGGTTGTGTCATTCAGAGAGAAGGGAGATCTGTTTGGGAAAAAGAAGCAATATTTTTGTTACAGAGATGTTACAGTAAAACTAATGTGATTGTTTAATGCTTTAGTTTTATGATCTGTAGGTGATATAGCAAGAATGCACTTCTGCCTAAGTATGCCAGTGACAATCATGATTTTTAAAGGTTTGATAACATCCTGGCAGTATTTGACTTAAGGCAGTTTCAGATTACATGGGACTGTCTAATTTTCTCTGCCATCACTGGCCCGAAAATATCAAGTGAACAAAAAACACATAAAATTATTTTAAACTAAACTCACCGACATTTGTAATACAATCACTAAATATGTCAATTAAGAAATGGTGTCAGCAGACAGTCGAGCATGAGCTCTTAATGCCCCCCCTGACCCACCTCCACACAGCCCAGACGCCAGGTTTCTCTGACCACGTACCGTGCGGCGGCACGCCAGGGACTTCCCAGGACCTGGACCACCCCGACCCGCAACCGTTCGATCAGATTAGCTGATGGAGGTCTTCCCCGCCCGGGGACGTCTGGTCGACCGAAAACGCTGCGTTTAAAGCGTTCGCAGCCGCCATTCACAGGGAGTCGGGATGGTAAATTAACGTCCTAATATCTTCCCCCACCCATCCCGGAATGTGGGCTATGGTTCAATATTCACTTTTTCTAATACAATCACTAAATCAGCTGTTGTAATAAAATCCCTCAATGGGACTATAGCAATACAATCACTCAATGGGATTATTATAAAAAAGTTACTTTATGAGCTATACTAATACAGTTTTATAGCATGTGCGTTGACCTAGATTTTTTTCACCATGCATGGTGTGGAGCCATGGCATGCATCACTCCTTTCCCCCACCGTCCTTGATTGGAAAAGTTTTGTTTACATTTTCCGGAAGGTCTACATAGAGGTAGAAAATACTCTAAGGATTGAATTTCTAGACTTTCTGTTCTGGGGGGGTTCTGACTCTCTCACTATACATATGACTATCAATGGTGACTGGTAGACTTACCAGACGTACAGAGTCCTACAAGACTTACCAGACGAACAGGAGTCCTACAAGACTTACCCAACGAACAGGAGTCCTACAAGACTTACCTGACGTACAGGAGTCCTACAAGACTTACCAGACATACAGAGTCCTACAAGACTTACCAGACATACAGGAGTCCTACAAGACTTACCAGATGTACATGAGTCCTACAAGTCTTACCAGATTTTTCACTGTGTGTGTGCAGATTAATGTGTACCTTTCTAGTTTTTTCCTTGCTGTATATTTGATTTTCTAAATATTTATATCAACTCAACAGAGTTTATTGTTAAACTGATTATTGTTAATATCACTGGCTTTGATAGAGTTTCCTTTGTATACTGGTTTGCAGTCCTTTGTTACCTATAGTTCTTCTAGCGAGCCAAATTTTAAAACAGATTAAATTTGTCAGACCATATGACGGTACTTAACAAACACAATCACTCAATGGGGCCATTCTAATACGATCACTTACTGAACACAATACTCAAAGTGATCAAGGTAGTTGGCCACAACGAACCAGCCGTAGTCATCCAGGGCCTCCAGGTCCAGCATGTCGTGAGAGTTCTGGTAGTAGTTGAGCACAGACTGGATGGTGCAGTTGTCGTTCTCGGGACTCATGGGCGCAAAGCAGATGTCAGTCAGGCTCACATTCTTACCTAGGTACTCTGCATGGAGTTCTGCTATAGCCAACTGCAGATCCAGAATCTGAAATGTGGGTCAAAGAATTATCAGAGCGGAACAAACTCTTAAGCTTAGACTGGGATCTCAAAACAATTCTCTTATTGATCCAAATATCTTATCTTAATCACACATTGCAGTTAAGGACATGGAAACATTGCATACTTTACTCCATTTTAACAATTTTAGAAACATTTATTAGAGAGATTTTTTTTTTTGAGGGGTAAACCATGTTAATGCATTAAACCAGTAGTCAAAAGAGCCAAAAATCAGCAGCAGGGCCATTAAACAAATTTTAAGAGCGTAACTTTCTTGTCAAGAACCATGTTTTTCGGAGTCAAAACACATTTGTGGCCAACTGGCCGAGCCGCACTCAGGACATGAAATAGGGGCATGCGGCTCACGAGCCACAATTGCAGACCACTGCATTAAACCAACAGTTAATTTGTAGGACATAACTTGTTTTATACAGCGATTCATTACCTCATGTAAGAATGTTTTATCAAACAGGTTGGTGTAATTCAGATTCTTCCATTGGACGACGGTTGTGTTTTCAGGCCTGCTGATGATCAGCTGTTCTGTGCGGTAAAATGGACTGTAAAAAAAATTATACAAATTCAACTGTTACACAATAAACAAGCTAGTGATAGAGATACAAAAATAGTGTTTGATACTAGTCTTCGAACAGGAAAGCTCAGAGAGGACTGGAACACTAGACTTGGACAGCTCACAAAGGACTGGGACAATAGACTTGGACCAGGACAGCTCAGTGAGAACTGGGACAATGTGTAGCAAAAACTTACACAAAATGGGAGTCAAAGTAGTCTTTCTCTGTCCGAGCCCGACTGTCAGGGGATGACCACAATTTGACAGGATCAGTGGTCACTGTGAAGAATGCAGCACCAGCACAAAGGCCCCCAAATACCGCCAAAACAATGATCTAATAAAAGAGAAGGATCAATATTATTTAATTTTAAAAAGGTGTTACAAAATGAACTTAACTTCTTTAAAAATATAAAAAGTCTGGATGAATAGCATTGCTCTCTGCCCCCTGCCCTGTTTGACACCAACAATGCAACAGCATATCCAACTTTCGCAAGCTATTTTTGGTATGGCTAACATACATAGTCTCAGCCATGAGCCTTTTCATTCACCAGATTGAAGAAAAAGTAATGGGTGAAGGGGAGAAAATTTTTACACCCAACATCATCACCATAAGAACAATAAATGCTGTCTAATCCATTCATTAGTGTAAAAAAAACCTAAAAATCACATTCAAAATAAAATAATAAAAAGGCACTTTTATAATGCCAGCTACTTGATACTATAAAACTTGATTTAAAACCATTTCCGTTAAACTAATGAGAAAGTCAGACTCACAGAAACAAGGAATGGATGGATGGCACAGAAATAGCCCCATCGTCGGAATGACCTTTCCAGAAAGGCCTCCATTTTGGCTCCAATGTTTTCACAGCGACCCAGCTGGTCTATGCTGATGTTTTCCAGGTACTGCTGCTTGCGTGCATTCCTTGTCACGGCCCAACCTTCAATGCGACAAGACAAAACACTTTAGCTCATGCATTCCTTGTCGCAGCCCAACCTTCAATATGACAATATTGTAGCAAAGCAAGACAAAACACTTAAGCCCAGGCATCATGTCACAGACACACACTCTGAGCCACTTTGGCTTTGGAACAAGTCATTAAATAACCCCTAAAAAAAAAAGCTTTTCGCATTGAACCCTTTATCACATGTAATGAAAAGCTTTGAGGCTGGAGGCTGAAAATTTGAAAGAATGAGTTGTCATCAGCAACAGGTCTATGTGTCAACTTTCAGCTTGATAGGTTGAAGGGTAGTGGGTCAATTAGCCATCCGAAGATTTTGCCAGCCAGCCACCCAGGCAGTTAAAAAAAAGAATTTAAAAAGTGAAATGGAATAAAAAAACAGCATGCGAGACAACCGCCCCATAAACAAAGATACAAATTTTTTAAATACCGGTAACATCCAGCATGGAAAGTACACGTCACAAAAATCAGTAATCCCATCGAAACCCACTCACCTCTTGTCCCACAACACCCTGGGCTGTCTTCCTCTCCCGGCTCCTCCAGGCGGAGGGAGTCCTGAACTATTATGTTGTAACAGATGGAGTAGCAGCCGAACACCAGGACAAAGACCGCGTAGATGACCCCGAAGATAAAGTAGTAGCAGTCAATGTGCAGGATCTCACAGGGAGCCTCGGGCGGGGACGGCGGGGGCGTCGGGGTGCAGGACGCTGTGCAGTCCTGGCAACTGCACGGCTCGGTGGTGTTTGAGGGGGCTTTACTGCATGGGACGGGTTGAATATCCAAAGGTGAGAGATTTGTGCCTGAAACATAAAATAAGGCTTTTCTTCAGATCCAGCAACATTTGGGCAAGTGAAAAGGGTTTTTAGAGGTGAATAATAAATTGGAATGGAAAGTCTAAAATATAAGAACAATCGGGAATAAGACGGAATGTTGAAATGATGCAATCAGGAAAATAACATGTCGGATCTTCTTCATACACATCCTTTAAAAAGACACATCTTTCCCCAAAGCACACTCTGCACTCAATTGGTAAATACGTCCCAATATGTTACAGTCCATAAGTTTAGTCACAAACAGTCAAGAGTGCTAATTTACAACCAACATTTAATTTACTGAGGCCAATATGCAGGAAATAATCATCAAATCTTTTAGTGTTGAACTATTATCAGTAAGCTCCCCCCCCACCAATACAATACAACATTATCATTCATCACACCTATCCAGTTGCTCACCATTTATAGTAATGTTCTTATTATCCAGATGGAAGTGGATGTCGAAGGGTGCCTGGCCATTCTGAATCGTCCCCATGTAATCCAGCCACTTCTTAGCAGTGCAAGTGTCAGCGTCCTCACCGCACAGAATGGACAGAGCTGGCTCGTTGGTGCTCGGCATCTGCAGATTGTTATACACTCACTTTTAAAAATTGTCTTGTTTTAATCCGAAACAAATGTCTGATTTCCTTCACAAGGCGGAGCAAAGATCTTTTGAGAAAGCCAAGCTTTTAAAAAAAAAAACTAAATGATCACTAACTAACCTGCACGTTACGGCACGAGTTGAACATCCCTTGTGCCGAGTCTGTGCGAATGGCGTACTCCACAGAAACAATGGCCGTTTGGGTGACATTGTAAGGTATTGTGGAATTCACCGACATAAACTCACTCTTTGGATTGAGAGGAAAAATAGTCAGTTTTAGAATCACAGGTAATGCTACTGTTGCCAGGCTATTCTCTCTATACAGAACTGAGTGTCAATAAGAGCAAAAAAGGAAAAGGGTGGCCAAAACAAAAACAAAAAAGGGGGGGGGGTGGGATGAGAGGTGCTCAATGTAACAAATAAAGCAGCTGTAACTTGAGCGTGAGAGGAAAAAATTATCTGGAGATCTTTGAATTTTTAGTTTTATTCTCACTATTAATGAAACCAATACTTCTTAGCTTCTTCACTTTCTCAATTAGAACTAAACAGATATGATTAGAAATCCCAATTACATTCGTTTTAATTGACAGAGATGGTATCCAGAGACATGTTGCATAGAGATAGGTTATAATACAAGCACACCATCTTTTCACCAGAGATGGTATCCAGAGACATGTTGCATAGAGATAGGATATAATACAAGCACGCCATCTTTTCACCAGAGATGGTATCCAGAGACATGTTGCATAGAGATAGGATATAATACAAGCACGCCATCTTTTCACCAGAGATGGTATCCAGAGACATGTTGCATAGAGATAGGTTATAATACAAGCACGCCATCTTTTCACCAGAGATGGTATCCAGAGACATGTTGCATAGAGATAGGTTATAATACAAGCACACCATCTTTTCACCAGAGATGGTATCCAGAGACATGTTGCATAGAGATAGGTTATAATACAAGCATGCCATCTTTTCACCAATTTTTTAACATCCTCGGTCACAATTTCATTCTGAAGGATAGTTAATTCCCTTGTGGCGCAGAAATGTGTGTCCTCATGAAAAAAAATTATCAATCCTGCGCGCAAAATATTTCAACAGTGGTCAGTCAACTTTTACCTTCCATAAATATGACTCTAAACTCACCTGCTTATCTCCGCACGTTAAATAGCACCAGACACTCAAGAAGTTGTGCAGGCAGCTCGGGCAACGTTGCAACGCCTGCCTGGGAACAGCAATCTGTGTGTTCAGTGTCATTATCTGATCGTCGGAGCAACATGTCTTCACCCCAGGCCCTGGGAGGAAAGTTTCAGAACATACAAATAAACATTCACCCTTTTTAATTTTTAAATGACCACACTTTAAAAATGCAGCCACAAAACCAGAAAGGATGAAAAGTCACAGCCTTTGGCTCAAATTTATCTTCCTGTTTGAGTTGCTAAAAGCAAAACACTTTATCAGTCATTCTTGTATAAGAATTCGTATCGTGCTATTATAAAGATGTGTTATGCCAATGCTGTGGCAGAAAGATGATGTTGCTTTTACTTAAAAGGTTTTCAAGCCATGTTCGGAAACTTTTCTGCCCCCCACTTCATGTTCTTTGAGTTATTCTCTGCTCTTCATTATTATTGAAAGCTGTTGACATAGTAAATAAGATTGGCAAACAATGTTAATCTTATCCAACTGTATTCATTAATTACCAGAGTAGAGATTTGGGCAATTCTCAGCAAAGAGTCTCTCCCCTTCTTCTGTCTGAAAAGCCTGAGGCGGGCCACTATATTTACAGTTGAGCTTCTTGTCTTTGGCTATTCCCGTGTTGTACCCGCACTGTCCATACCATATACAGTCACCATTGCACTGGGAAGTTGAGGAAGAACATGTCTTTATAAAATTACCATATGAAACTGGTCAGTTTCTTAAGTGCATTGAATTTGAAAATTCAAAACAATAACATATACAACCGTGTTTAAACTTGTTCAAAAAAGACGACTTTTTGGGCGAATATTTCAGAGGAATAAGGGAAGTGGCTGAATCCAAACCTTTACCTTTTATCCATTAAGTGAGTGATGGGATATTTAAATAATTTATCCAAGTGCTTGATTATTTTATGGAAAACAAAACGAAGAAAACAAAAATATATTAACAAAAGTCAAAACTGGATCACACTTTTTGTCCTCAAATTTGCAACTGTCGTGATTGGTTGAGCTTAGACAGTATCAAAGCACCCACATTGAATAATGATATTGTTATTGCAGATATCTGAGGTCAATTTATTTTTTTTTTTAACACATTCAGTGAAATAAAATGTTTGCATGCAGCTCATTTGTTAAAATCACTTTAAAAAAATTTGGTTTACTTTCTCGGCAAAGATGGTATCGTTCACTTCCACTTTCAACTTTTCAGCACCAATAACTCAATTTAAACACAGATGTTAGTGATAAAAAAAAAAAAAATAATAAAAAGCTAACAAAAGCTATGTAAACAGTTTCCATATTTCACAACTTTTATGTTTCAAGTGGGGGCTGAAGAAGATAAGCTTAAAACTTCAACCCGACTATAATAATAATAATGATCAGTGAAAGGTTGTGAAGTGTCTGTGCATTGTGAAATCATCTCTTCACTGAGGAAAAAGCCTAGCTTATCAAAATAAAGACAAAAAGAAATAGAATGAAGGATAAAATGAGATCAGTGTTTGATTATTTTAAAAAAATTCTCAATACAAAGCACAGATTATGAACAGATAAGTTTGTTGTCTACTCAAACAGGATACAAATTATTTTACTTGTGACATCAAGGGCACATTTTTAAAGTCTTTTAGAATTAAAAAAATCATGACATGGATCTTCCACTTCAAGTTATGACAGATAAAACCTAAAGATAAACAAAATAGTGGCCTAATGAAGGTTTCAGAGGTGACCTGATAATGTTTCAACATGCAAAGAAGAAGCCCATTAACATTTATAATAATAAGGTCACTGAGTCAGTGGCTCAGGTTACATAAAAAATGAACTTGGCCAGCTGTGCTCAGCAATTTATTTATTATCTTTTTTTTTGTTTAATATTCAATGAAGGTTTTGAAATGATACTATGTATCATTTTATTAAGAAATTTTATTTATCCAGATGCAAAGCAATATATAATATAGTGAAGTTAATTCAGTACCGAACAAGATGGTGTTTAGTCTGTCTCATTTTAAACTGAATAAAATAAATAATTACAGCTCATCAAGACTTAAACAAGTAGATATTTTGATGCCTTGGTTAGCATGGGCTTTCCTTATTTTTAAGTGTCAAATTACTAGGTTTTTATACAATGAAATCCAAAAAATTGCAACTGAAGGGTTTAGTGGATGACTGTAACAACTTTTACACAAACGTTTTTCATTCTTCCTCCATACGTCCTATCTGTCACACAAAACATTGATTCTTCCTGTCACACAAAACATGGATCCTATCTGTCCCACAAAGCATGGATCCTATCCGTCACACAAAACATGGATCCTATCTGTCACACAAAACATGGATCCTATCTGTTACACAAAACATGGATCCTATCTGTCACACAAAACATGGATCCTATCTGTCACACAAACATGGATCCTATTTGTCAAAGAAGTTGCTTTTTAAAATATTTATTTAACACTATCTTTATTTATATTTTCAAGTCATCTAAATAAAATGATACAAAAGCATAAGTTGACAAACATACTAACTGATGTCACCTGATAAAAAGTCTGATGTGTATAAAAATAGATTTATGATAAATCTAAAAAGTCAATTAAACATAATAATAACATTTATTAGTTGGCTAAATAAATTAGGCTACACAGAGAAAACAATGTAAACAACTGGCCATCAGCTATAATTAAGGCCAAGCTCTTAAAGCACTTGACCTCAGATTTCAATTATTTCCTTCCTTCAAATAACCCATATGTTTTTGTTTAAAAAGCCAGACAGTCATTCACTTCCATCGTCATGGATAACCAAAGGGAACATCATGTGGATGATACAGCTTGGCACCAGTGGTGTTGCAGGAGTTGTGTAACCCAAGGGAACATCGTGTGGATGATACAGCTTGGCACCAGTGGTGTTGCAGGAGTTGTGTAACCCAAGGGAACATCATGTGGATGATACATTGTTGAGGAGATGCAATGATCCATTTCCCTTAAATCCCCTAATAAAGCAATTTTATACTGTGGGTTGGTAAATTACAAAATGATTTGACATCATATTGTTTGAGATTTAATTTGACTTTAAAAAACCTTCATTAAGCATTAATGCATTAATGAGTTGCCAGGTTCTGGATATCATTTGGATTATCTGTTATTCCAGAAGACTGTATAGGAAAATAATCATTTTTGGACATGTATATAGCACTCTTAAACTACAACACCTAACCAATTTGCAGGAGTGCCAAGGAGGAAAAAGACTGGAAGTTGTCCAGAATTTGTGGAAAAGGAATCTGCCATCCATAAGCAAAGTATATATTGAACATTGCAAAAGCTTTCCTCCATAAAATTTTAAAGCCTGTCACTTCAATTTAATATTACTAGCATAATTAAGCACTCTGTCATGATGGTACAATTACTTGTTAATTGACTTATATAGTAATCTAGGCTGATCCAATCAGCAAATATGTATGGACTTGTTGGATCTGTGTTAATTCAATAACGACTTTGCCGCTTCTGCTTATATTAATCTACATTTGGACATAAGGCCTATGGTTCTGCTGAAATTAATTCTTTATTTGGTTTTATTGCAGTTGATCCTAATTCCCATTACATTTATAGCTGAATTCAAACATTTGCCTTTTATCCATTAATGTACGTTTTTTTTAAAAATTGCATCAAGTTATTAGCCTAGGCCAACGGTCATCTTCCTCTGCCCATTGAATGAATAAGTGTGTTTCTTTTCATTACGAAACCAGCCCCAGTTCATTCATGTCATTGGCTACCTAAATATTTTCTTTAGTAGAATCCAATATAATTTATAAATTGGATCTTCACTCAAAACAGGTCTCTAAACCACGGCCTATAATAGGGCCTATGCTAATCAACCTACTAATACAAATATAAATTTCAGAAAATGGAGCCGAACTTAGGCAAAATATAAAATTGTAGTTAGGTTTACGCCCAGTATCTCTACAAACTCTATTATTTTACCACATCACACGTCTATTTCTATAGACATTATAGTAGGTGCCACTGTCATATGACAATGACATCATTGAATTATTCATCGTTCATTCTTTATCAAAATCATGCACTTCACTTGGGCGTCTAAAATTGGAGTGCACTTCAAAGTAATATATATTGATGTTATAATTAATGCATCTAATTATGACTAATTGATTCTATATATGCTATGACTCATGACTCTTGATTTTTTTTTTAAACCAGACACTGTCACGACTGTGAACATTTTATATTATACAATTTACAACTTAAATGAACTAGGCAAGGGGAATCGTAAATTTAATTTTATGAATAGTATCAACTGTTTCAATGTAGCAATTAAATTAATTTAAGCACTGAAACTGATTCAGTGTTCAGTCTTGTCATTTTATTAAAATTAAACAACTCACAATGCCCAACTGCACCTCAGGACTATTGGAATTAGAATAAATACATTATATAGCATATAAATATATATTATATATATGATGATTTAGTAATTTAATTAATTTACTATTTATTAGTATAGTCACAGTAATAGCATAGAATATCTGAAATATCTGGACTGTCTCAGCTGTCTGGACTTTCACTTACCAATGAAATAATATTAAGTCCCACGATAACACATACAAGGAAGCGCCAGCCCATCAAATGAGATCCTCCCATGATTGAGTTATGTTCCCTATAGCTCTCCTTTCGATATTTCAATCCAATTTCATTAATGTTTCCAGGAGTCTCTTTTAAATACGTCTTTCTCCTACACTTGAACACAACAAGTTATTAATGCCTGTGTTATCGCACCCAACTCTTAGTTACTATCTTTACCCTTGACCCGGAAGTTTCAAAACGGGTGATCGTTCTATTTTAAGAAAACAAAATAGAGGCGGTTCAATAAAAAAGTTTTCTAAATAAATGAAGTAAATAATATTTATTTTTAAACCGTAATTTGATTCCAATATTTAAAAATGCCAATTTTGTAAAATCATCCCATCCGACAATGTTTCAAATTTACACTACATTTTAATGTCTCAAAAATATTATTATTTTAAAATAGATAAGGAAAAAGATTTTTCATTTGTAATTGAATTTTTTTGTTAAAAGAAGAATTCTTAATGTTAAATTTTAGCGGTTTTGCTTGATATCGGGTGCACATCTTCAGATGCGCCAACAAGTCGTCACTTTTAATTAAAAATAATTAATTGTAGCGTACTTAAGGTTGGGGGGGGGGGGGGGATTTCCCAGTTTAAAGTTTTTCCCTGGATTTTCTGATTTTTAGTTTTTTGTAAGTTTTTTTTTTTTTTGTACATGTCCAGTTGGTGGGTTTGGGGGGGGGTGGTAATCTCACCATAGCCGTTCTTATGCATAGGCAAACTAGACGACCGCCCAGGACCCCACTGTCAAGGGTCAAGGGGGCCCCGTCGGGCAATTTTTTTTTAAGCCTACAATTTGCAAGTCAGTAGATTTCAGAGGTAAAAAGTTTCCCTAGTCGCGGAATTATCAATATCATCAGTTATCAAAATGGAACCGGAAACGCATCGCCGCTATTCGGACCCGGGTCCCTTTAGACTCAGTGGCGTAGCTAGAGATTTGGGGGGGGGGGATTTGGGGACCCGGGGGCTTGGCCTCTTTAGGGGCCCCTGCATTTTGACATTCGACATTATTTAATGTAAAAAAAGGACACGCCTTTGGGGGTCCCCTCAAGTATTTGGACCCCCCCCTCCCCTAGCTACGCCACTCTTTAGACTCAATGCTATTCGGATGTCATTTGTGGTAGTTTATTATTTTAGTTAAACTGAAGAATTAAGTTGACAAACATATAGCCCATTGCATTATCTTTCATTTGATACCAAATTTCGTCTTACAACCGAACAATAATATTTTTTTCTTAAATTTTCATCCCAACCTCAAACTTCTCGGAGCCGGGTCCAAATAGCCACTTCGTAAAAATTGGCAAAATGAACCTAATATTTTAAAAAGTTAAATACATTTATTTAAGTAAAAAAAAAAAAAAAAGCTTTATAAATACAATTTAGATTATATCATATTGCATATTCCTATGTAAATTCAAAACTTTTTCTTCGTAGGCTAAATCTACGAAACAGAAATCATTCGACAAAATGGGACATTTCATCTTTAAATTTATTTTGATTATTCATTTTTCAATCATGGAACATTTCAAGGTATGGATTGTCACTCTAACATCTTTATTCGTCAGAATAACAAGTGCGTGGCCAAACTGAACTACACAGGAGCAATCCAGATGTCCGCCGGGTTTTATCTTGTACTTGAATAGGGAAATCTCATACTTAGGGGATATAAATAAACCAACGTTTCTCTCAAAGGGCGCCAAGTGTTTGGAGTAGAGAGTTCGACTTTAAAGGAAAGAGTTCACTTTGATTACTGGCGAGTGGCCGCTGATATTGACTTGAGCAATAAAGAGAATTTTTTTTCAATTGCTGGTACTTTTAGCCCCCAAAAAATGAGTGAGTGTGTTTGTGTGAGTGTGTGTGTGTGTGCGTGTGTGTGTGTGGTCGGGGGGGGGGGTGGTCGGAGTGTCACAGAATAGGGTGAAAGGATTTGTTTTTGAGGGCCTAGAAGACACGAAATATAACTAAATTAGTTTGGTCATCAGTTGAGGTTAATCCAGGCCAGTCCCCTCTAACAACAATAGCTTTCTCATATTCTGCCCCTTTTCTCAATCCATATCTCCATTTTCTCTCTCTCTCTCTTTCTCTCTCTCTCTCTCTCTCTCTCTTTTACACACACACCCACGCTCTCTCTACCCCCCCTCCAGCATCACCCAACTTAACATGGTAATATCCACACACACCATCTCACTCAATTTCTGACCCCCTCCCTCTATATTATATATCTCTTCTGGAATTACCACCTCTCTCTATCTCTCAGTCTCTCTTTCTCTTCCATTCGAATCCATTATGAGACCCAATAAGATAAGATAAGATTCTTCTGTTGATCCAAATAAATGGAAATGCTTTTTGATTGCATTATACATTTTCAGCTCAAATATAAAACAATTTGAACACAAGACATTTATAATAAATTATTTCTAACAGCCATTCAGTGAGTTCTCTTAGCAAAATCGTGTACTTATTAGTTCTCATTCAGATGTGTGACTATAGAGGAAGCATGCCGGTAAATTCGTACAGATTGGGGAACAAAAGAATTTTTATATCTGTCAGTCCTCGCCCTAAAGGAAAGAATTCGTCTCGAACGGCCCGATCCTAAGTGTCTAGGATGAAGAGGGTGGGATGTATCATCCAAAATGTGTTTAGTTTTACAAAAACATCTTTCTTCAAATAGTTCTTCGAGTGAAGGATGTTTAGTTTGCGTTATGTTCCCAGTTTTCTTGATTAGTCGGTTTATGCGGTGTTTAATATCAGACGTTGAATTCCCACACCAGCAGGTAATACTGAAATTAAGCAGGCTTCCAATAGTTGCACTGTAGAATAAGTTAACGACTTGCTTGTTTGCGCCGAAATTGTACAGTTTTTTGAGGTAGAACAGTCTTTGGTTGAATCCCTTAGACAGTATTTGGTCGTCCTCATGCCATGTTAGCTTATTATTAATGGTGTCACCTAAGTACTTGTATGCCTCCACTTTCTCCACATTTTGATTTTTTATGTTGAGATCTGTAATCTGGTGTCGGTGTTTCCCCCCTCCTGAAATCAACAACCATTTCTTTTGTTTTTGAGACATGCAACTGGAGAAAATTTTCATCGCACCAATTGATAAAGCTCGTTACTAAGTTGCGGTATAAGCCTTCTCCTTCAGATATTAAACCATGCAAGTTTTGAAAGAGTCTTATAGAATCTGATGCAGCTAATGTATGATTTGTATTATCATTTTTTTTTTTTAAATATGCATTTAGAATAAACGGTCACAGTACAGCCACTGCACAGGGCAGTAATTACATAGGGAAGCAACTACACATCACAGTAATTACACAGGGCGTTAATTACACAGGGAGGTAACTACACAGGTTAGCAACAACTCAGACCAAACGAAAGTATTCATTTGTCTCGCATGTTTCTGAGCCGAATTGTTCAAAGTATCGTTTCAACTTTCCTTCAACAAAATACTGTTTCTTTGACATTTTTTTTTTTTTTTTTTTTTTTTTTTTTTTTTTAAAAAAAATTTTTTTATGTTTTTTT